AGGTAACATTTTTAGGAGAGATTATTTTTGGGAAAGAAAGGTTTTTGGCTTTCTACATCTCCATCATTAAAGAAAAGACTGATTTCCTCTCTATAACACATGCCTTTCGAATAAAATGAAATTCCTACCGCTGGGATTAACTATCCGCAAAACGCACACCATTGAAGATGAAAGTGATCCATGTTAGTGACAGTGTCATCACTGACAGTCATCAACACTCTTTAATTTAATATACTTGTACCACATTGTGCAGCCTTTCTATCAATGATATCTGTTTCGTTTCCAAAATGAAAGTCTGTAGTACATTCCATTCTGTCCATTTGAAAGTAGTTGTTTCGAAAGGATGGTGGTTTATGCACTACATATTTTTATAAAGAGTTTTCAATTGCGGTTATTTTTTTCCTTTCTTTTGAAGTTTCCCACATTTTTATTTATTGATGATGAAGTAGAGAGCCAAAACGCTTTTTCTGAAAAACCTCATTTTTCCTAAAAATATTCTCTCTTAGAAGTACACTATTCAGGATGATAGTTTTCCGTATTCATGACAATTTAATCCATACTCTTTTATATATTATATTGTATAGCGTTTCCATGAATGTTATCTGGTCCAATTCCCTAACAAATGTTTATAGAACGAACTGGATCAAACAAATAGATTTTCATAAAAGTCAATGTTCGTGTAGTTGTTTCGAAAGATTTTTTCCTTTCGTGTAATTTAATGTTCATATGAAAGTAGTTTTCTAAAATGTTTTTTCTTCCAGTTTGTATCTGAAAGGAATTTCTGTGTATGTTTATGTTTAAAATATGTTTTTTCCGTTAACCTGCTATCGCACCCCTACGAACGACAACTTGTGCAAGCTAAGGACTAACGAGGTCTTATCTTTTAACGTGTGATTCCTATGCACCACATATTTTCATGAAGAGTTTTCATTGTAGTTATTTTTTGTTTCTCTCTTCGGAAGTTTCACATATGTTTGATCAATGATGAAGAAAAAGAATGTCTGAAGCTTTTCCCCAATAATTTCATCAATCTCAAATTTCATTTCGATGATCAATTCAAAATCAATCAAGAAATTTGACAACGAACGTAATTTTTTATGGTATTACGAATATCCCACTTCAGTGGCGGATATTACAACTAATGTGAATGATAGTGACGAAAGAACGAATTAGCAGTTGAAAAAATACGTTAACTACTCTGTTCAACGATTCAACTCGATTATCCGCTTCATCAAAAGTCCTTGGGAGAGCAATTAAAAATCAATTAAAAGAACATATTGACCATTTTTCTATATTACTTTCAATTCAGTCTGGCTTTCGCAAAGGTTTCAGCTGCACAAATGCTCTACTACATATTGTTGATGACATTATTAGAGCTCGCGATTAAAAAAAACACAAGTTTACTTCTTTTTGATTTTAGTGGGTACGAACAATTTTAATTTACTGTTGATGATGCTAAGTCATATCGGCCCCTCTAGAAATACTACTACTATGATTGAATCATATCTGAATGATCGTCATCAAAAGGTGCTTATAGATTAAAATGAGTCACGATATCTTGGCCTATGATGTGGTGTACCACAAAGTTCAATTATTGGCCCTCTTTCAATCACCATCTATACAGCATTGCTGCAATTGTTTGCCATTTCTAGTATACATTTACACGCCGATGAAACAGATCTCAATCAAATATGGTGAATGATGCAAATGACAACGGAAACATAGAGTTGAAATCATTTGTTGAGAAAGCTTATCATCACTGTTTGATGTTTTACCATGGTTATTCTAGTGTCATTGTTTGTGGAACCAGAAGTAGTTCATGTAGTTCTATTGATATTTGAATTAATGATGATTCATCAGTAGTAGTACAAGAAACTGAGAGTTTAAGTGATATTGGATGCTGAATTAAGATTTGAAAAATATGTCAATTGATTCCTCAAGCTAGCATATTATTTGATGAAAATACTATATAGCAATAGGTACTTTCTTTCCTCTTACATGAAAGTAATCTTGTGTGAGGGTTTGGTTTTATCTGAATTTAACTTTGCTGATGCTGTGTATGGTTCATGTTTGACCAGTCCAGTGAAATCAAAAATACAAAAGTTCACAATTCTTTTTCACGATATATCGGTTGGACGTTGGTTGGTTGAAAATGAACAACAGGAGAATTCTGCATGTTGGAACCCTGTTCCATGAATTGTTATCAACAAAACTCCAACTCACCTATACAGAAACAAAAAACATCTTCAGAAAAGATATCCATTACCTCAATATTGGAAATTCTTCGCTTAGAAATTTTTCGTTGGAATTTCAGCTATGCACTATGACATACCTAAGTCAATGAAACGAGTCACACCTGAAGAAGCTATTGTATAGCGAAACACGTGTTGCGTTTTTGTGAAACTGTTCAGTGAAATTCTCACAATAAAGTGTTTTTTGAATATCTACACTACATTGTTTCAAAACCTACTTGAAGGCCCAGCTGATAAGCTAACTACATGCATTCAAAAGTCTCCTTGTATTATCTTCATGTGTGAAGTGAGATAAGTGCTTATTTTTTGTGCAGCACCTTGCTATATATGGTTCAGGTTGAATGTAGGAGCAATTTAAAAGTGTATTTGAATTGTTTAAATTGCTGTTGTGTTAACTTCAATGTACACTTCTCTGTTTTTCGTCTGAAAATAATTAAGACATTATTATTATTATTATTATTTGTTTTTCTTTTCTCCAAAGGGTAAGCTGGTCGGGCCCTGTCTCCGAAGCCCCGATACATTCAGGAGGGCGTGACAGCATTATCAACCAACTACTCCCCACAACTTGGGGTAAGTGATCATTGGGTCCGAGAATCATGTGCCCTGAGCAAGCGCAGTGAGCCAAGAATGATAGCCTTCTGCATTTGTCCGGCTATGATTTCTGCCTCACTGCTGCAAGCCGGCATGATTTTCAGATTCGACAGTACAGAGGATATTATTCCACCAAGGAATCCAATAATCAGAACTACCATCCAAAGTGGTCTTGATAGAGTTTGCGGAGTTCGAATCGAAGACAAAATCTTGATATTTTATCTGTTTTTCCTCCGCTTTTCAGACGATATTCGTCTCGCCAGGAGCTGAAAACTGCACGACAAATGTCGTCTTGCTCTGTTGGTCATTATTATTTATTATCCAATGTCATTGATCGAAATCTCATTCACAATTCCAAATGAAGTTTCTAAAGTTATTTTCAAGTTTATACAGAATATTGAAAGGGTAACCCCAAAATAAAATTTACCCGTACTAAGGAATATTTGGATAATTAATGCGAAGTCGGTTAACCACAGGAAACTTTAGAATCCGACGAAGATACATCAATTTCAATATCTGCAATATTTCTTTCCGCTAAAGTTTACATTACCCATCGTCTGTGAATAGGGCAACGTTGCCAGATGGAATTTTCACATTTCCTGACTCGCAGTCCGAAATATCCCCATATTTTTTTCAATTATTTACAAAAACGTGCTATTTATCAGATTGAGATTGTTTGATTTCGCATAAAAATATTGTGAGACGTAGTTCACTCAAACCAAATAATATTTCACAATTGATTATTCAATATTTGAGTTCAAGTTGGTAATCTGTTTCTTATCCATGATGATTATACTATTTTCACATTATACATTTTATTCCAACCAGACCAACTGATGAAGCTACCGTGGAATGAAACGCGTCTTCAATGAAATGTATAGTGTGCAAATTGTATAACTTTTTTTTTTGTGATTTAAAGGCGTCGACTATAAGGTCATTGTCCTTCTACTATCGGTTTGTTAATCATTTGTTTCCTTGTTTAAATTGTATAACTATTGTCTTGCCTGATTGATTCAGCAGATGGTGTTTTTAATGTTCATCAAATAACGGGTCTGTTTCTAAGTTTAATATTATTCACACACAGGTATTGGTATTGGTGAGACCCCATCAATTGCTGAATATGTTGTCTAGATTGTGGAACCCTTTCAATTTCTCATCTTTGGGGATTTTTGTTTGTTCATAATTGGTTTCTATACATCATTCTAATGATCATTATTTTGATATTCTCTAACTATTTCATGAGTTCAAATAAGTCCAATCTGACCAATCAAAACACAATAACTTGAAAAATGCAGTTACTCACATATCTCCTGAGATTTACACTTTTTGGAATTCCTCACAAAAGTCCTACAACGATTCAAAAATCCTGAAAAGTGAAAATTTTCCCCATACCTGGCAATTCTGGCAGAGGCAGAGCATGTGGAAGAAAACCTACTCTCAAATCCAAACCGTGAACACTTCCGAATACCTACATGCTGCCAGATGAAATTTTTTGATTCAATTCAATTCGATATAAATCCTTTAATTTCGTTAAATCCGAAAATGTATAAACACTTTACTCAAGTTGAAATAAATATATTTTCAGAACTAGGTCTAGTGGCACCAATGGGAGTGGTATTTTATACAGGAATGACATTTGAAAACAAAAATTTCACTTAGTTCAACTGAAACTAAAGTCTCATTCGATAACCATCTTTTTTATTCATGAGGAGAATGAGTAATTCATTCCCAAGGAATGTTATTTTCGAAGCTGAATGGAAAAACAAGAAGCCGTGAAAAGGATTTTGCAGGACCGCCCGTTTGTACGAAAAGTAGAATACAAAATACCTTGTTTTCACTCAACCATAATGTGACTCGTAAATACGTGATGCTGAAATCAATAAAAAATATCAAGGGGAGTTAGCCTCAAAGTTCAACGTATAACCGCTGATTGTTACTGAAGCCACCACTCACATTTTTTCAATATTCATAATATTCATTTGTAAAGTTTTGTTATATTGCTATATTTATGATGAGAACAGAAAATCACTATTTCTTCAAGTCATTATCAAATCTTCGAAATCGAAATCTATAGAAATTTCTTTGTATCTGGCAACGTTGCTCCGAACAGAGTCCCCACAATGAGTTAGCAAGAGTGGGAAATAGTAGATATAAATATTGTTTGGATCTGATCCTACCCCAAATTCTCTGTCTGTTGTCGATAGTGAGAATCGCAGATGTTCATTTGCGTATACGTGACGTTCGTCTTAGTGTCCAGTTCCGTTAGTTAATTATTTGAATATTTGCAAAATGTGTGTCGGGAGAATTGTTAGTGAATTTGAAGTAGAGGGTTCACATAAGTTCGTTAACGGCAAGACCAAACCCAATAAAGCGGTTTTGAAAAAAATTCAAAAGTCTGCCAGAAAACTTGAAAAATCGGTTTCCATGGGAAATCACAAGGAGTATACAGAAGATTTGTTGGCTGTGTCCACACGTTATACCAAAGAAGTGTTTGCATCTATACAAAACGAGTACAATAAGTTTACGAAATCCAGTTTTTATAAGTGAGTGAAAATATATATTCTTTGAAAACTTATGAAATTCATTAATTATGTGTGTGGCAAGAGGGAACAGAAATGAAATTGATAGTGATACATTGATTACTGTCAACAATGGTTTCACTATTTTCTGAAAATTGTTGCACCTATATTGAAAAGTATTATTTATGTGATTGATTGTTTACGTAAATAGAATAGGGATTAACTTTTTTACATATGTCAACATTTTCGCCACAGAATAACACGATAATTTGATAATTCAAAGGTTTCATTAAGTGATTAAAATGCAATATGGATTATTTTTGAAAAATTTATCATTTATCAAAACTGATAATTTCATTCAATTCACATTCAAATTCATTGATTTGCTTGGTTTCCATATTCAAAAAGCAGCTTGAAATGTGTTAATAGCTTATTATGCTTGATCATAATTTTTCAGATTTTACAAGTTCAATCAGGATTTGATTAAGTTTTGAAATAAGTAAAACTACATTTCCAAGACCACTCTTTGAAAGTTTGCAAATCAACCATTTTGAATCAATTTCTGATGAATAAAAAAATGATACACCAGCAGGGAACCACAAATATTGGTTCCGTTCGGTTAGAGAGTATCAATTCTACTTTTCCATCACATAGTTAATGGATGATTTTATAAATAAAATGTTAAGAGATCACCTTCAAGTAATATTTCATATATTTTTCAGGATTCTTGTCTACACAACTCAACCAGCCCATTTGATAACGGCTTTATCTGTGATTTGGATCGCATTTTTGATGGTCCCCAGTAGGAGTCAAACCCTAACATCACCATTGTGGAATTTAGTGTATTTGGGTTCATTTGCAGCACATTTTGGTGCCCAAATATGGATGACTTTCGTGTCTGGACTTGCTCTCTACTTCACGCTACCAAGGCATAACTTTGGTGCAATTCAACAAGTACTGTTTCCCAAATACTTCTTGATGAATTCAGTCTTGAGTTTAGTTTGTCTTGTCATTTTCCTGAGAACCAACAATCACAAGTTATGGGAGAAGGATAATATTATTCAGGTAGGTAGATTTTTATTTTATTTTTTCATATACCACTTGAAAGATTACCGGCGCAGTGAAAGTTACTGATTATGATACATTTTTTCTGGGCCATATTTCTGCACCAGGTACCAAAAAGGAATCAGAAGAATTATTATATAACGTATTCAAAAAACACTTCAATGTGAGATTTCCATTTGTCAGTTCACAAAACCGCGACACATGTTTCGCTATACGATAGCGTCTTCAGGCGTCACAGTTCTCAAAACACGTGGAAATCTCATATTGAAGTATTTATTTTTATACGACGTAATGGATTTTCATTAAGTATCGGTCAGTTCTATCATATTATCATATATTGTCAACCATTTCCAAACAAATGTATATACTGTTATGTTTTCCGTTAACCGTTAACTAGTTGGATGTATTTGAAAAATGTTTCAAAAGAGAGTACAAATCTCAATGAAATCAACCTTTCTTTACTACTATCATTTTCATTTATTTCAAATAGGGGTACCATATAACATAAAATGAATTAGCCGAAGAACAAGCTCCATCTTCAACCACCATGTCAATATTTCCATATTTCATACAAAACTAGCTGAAGTACACTACATTGTGATTTAATGAAAATATATCAAACACAATATGAGTGTATGTGAAAGTAAAATAAGTTTTTTTTTGTTACAGGTAACAGCACTGTCAACATGTTTCATGGCCGAACTCGTCATACGTCTTTACTTAACTCCACCACTACTGAGACTCATTGTCAAGAAAACGAAGATAGAGAAGAAAGCCGGAGTTGGCATGGAAATAGGAAAGTTGAACTTTGCAGGACTCAAAGATTGTCCATACTACATGAGTATACACAAAACTTTCAGAAAAATTCATATGACGATTGCAATGATGAATTTAACTGCAATGGCTTGTACAACTTTACAACTGTATTATTTATCACATAAGTTATGTGCGATATAGAAATATTTCTTGTTGACATTGCCGAAGAATATAGTCTAGTCTAGTAATGTCAGAAGGAACTTTCTTTCTCCTGTTCTTGACGGAACAGTTTGAGAAATGGAAAATCGTGTTCATGCATATTTTGTATAAAGATAGACTGAGAGTTTGACTAGAACAGTTTCTATATCACAGCACCTGGAAACAACCAGCAGAACATTCTGAGTTTTTGAATCCATTGTTCCTTACTATGTTGATTTGCCAGTATTGTTCACAAGAAACCCATATATTCTGGAAACATGCATACGTGATAATAAAAAAGTTGGCTTCTTCATTTAGAATTGTTATTGTTGAAAAGAGGAAAATGCTCTGATTGGAAACCTGACTCGTGTGGTAACGAAAATTTTGAGACTGCATAAAGTTTCAATGTAATTATAGATTCCAATTTCATTTCATAGACCCTGAAATGATCGATTTGAAAATCATACATTTCAAAATGAAACTATCACAATTTGTATGTTCAAATAGAAAAAAATGGGACTGAAAATATACTTTCGAAGTTTTACTTAGGATATTTATTGAAACGATATCATGCACGATGGTTTGAAAAATGCTTTTGTATGAAAGCAGACTGAACTGAGTCATTCTAATTGTAGTAGAATGTGCATTAGAACTGGATATTATTAGGCTGTTTTATTTACAATGGCAATTACTTGATCTGCTATCCATGATATAGTTAACTTTCACAAATACATTTTTTTATTCTGAACGCGTTTCGTTATCACCGTGGCTTCATCGGTAGTAATTCTGATAGGTTACCCTAAGGAAACGAAGGGTTGTGATTTAAATAGTCTATTCATGTATGTGTATTAACTACTGATCCGATTTTGATAAATAGCCATTATTTGTTGTTGTGATCCGGGCCTACATTTTATTAACGATCAAAATCAATAGTAGGTACTGGATGTTACCCTAACAGTAAAGATCTCCCTGAAATTTATTTCCTACCGTTTCAAGTGGGATACCAATTTCATGAACATGAGTATAGAACCATCATACAAAAATGTACCAATCGACAAAACACAATTTTACAGTATTTCAAGTTTTTGGAAAACTATTAGCGCTATATTTGTCAGCAGTTCTGACTATTAATCGTGAAAAAATAACATCACCCACGTTTTGGTGGGTCTGTTTTTTTTTCTACAGACATTATGATTCTGAACGGACGAACTCATTCATTTTTCAGAGTGTGATTATTATGTACAGTCATCAAAATTCAGAATGGAAAAAAACCGAAAAGAGTCTTATGAACTGTTACATGACTATGGAAAGTATCCACTAGGGATTTTACAACAACATAGGCTTTCACGGCCGAAGTTACGAATGAAGAGAACAAAATCCGGGCTGGTAGGCCGTGGTTGAATGGAAACTGAAGAACTAAACATTTCGTCTGCTACATGCCTTACCTTCCTTTAAAAAAAGTTAAAAAGTGTAACTTAACAAAGAGGAAAAAAATTCAAAAATTTCAACTAGACTGCTGATAAATGAAATGGACTGAACTAAAATATCTCATGCTTATGGTTATAATTTGGCATAATCGTTTTAATGAGTAGCATGAAGGAAAGACGCGAAATAGAGAAAGGTCCGCGCTTCGTTTCCGCCCAACGTACATTCCGTGTGAATCTGCACAATAACGTTATAATTGCCGTGGTCAGCCGTTGTCTAAAAAAAAACAAACATTCTAACCTAATTGACAAATAAAATCAGTGGAGAAGCCTTCATTCAAAGATGAAAATATGCACGGTTTTCGGAAATGTGGTTTGACTGATTTTTTTGTTTTGGTAATTTTGAAAATTTTTTGAATTTTTTTGCATAGTCAAGTTACTGTTTTTGATCTTTTCATGGTAGGTACACTCACTGGGAAAAAATTATGATTGATTCATATTGTTGTCCAACATATGTTCACAAAAATACGTTTTCCTCTCGAAATGACGTTCTGAGTTGGTATGGATCAATAATCAATGGAAAGCGAACATTCGCAAATAAAAGTCTATCATAAGTTTCGAAACTTAGGAAATTCCGATTATACCGTTTAGTTTCGTTTCAATTTTTCCTGACGATATTGAAAAAGAAAACAAAAAAAATCACTTCCTCATTGCAACTTTTCAAGTTTTACAAAACAGGTTTTCAAACCGACGTTTCGTCTCCGAGAAAATAAAACTAGTTCAAAGTTTAAATATAGCCCCCCGTAAAGAAATATCGCCGGGTATAAGTTAGTCTGTTTAGCGACAGCTTCCGTCAATTAGTAAATTTTGAAACGTCATTTGGAATGACTCTTAAATAGGTAACTTTATTCTAATTTAACCGACTTTGTAACTATTACATTTTCCAATTTCCCCAGTCTGGCCCTCCTCATATTGGAGACAATGAATTGATGAGAAATTTGATGTCATACTAAAATGATTATCAAACTGAAAACTAGAGAAGCGTAATACTTTTCATTAAGTTGACTGAGAGTATATTTCGAGAAAAGTCAAGTGTCTGCTGACGCATTATTGCTGAATAGTGGAAGGTCACTGATACTACAAATGAATTTTGTGTGACTTACCTATTAATTGATTGATGGATGATGATGAAATAATGATGTTTGCGTCAACGATATGCCCACGAAATACACCACTCCTTTATTCATACTTATTTGTTAATTATAATTCAAATCTCCTGAATTTTTTTCAGTGTTAAGTGAATTACCGATAAATGTTGGGAACAACCTAAGCCGCGTAAAGTTTGGCATTACAGATCTGCTAAGTGGGAAGATCTTCAAGACCATTTCCCTTGGGTAGATGTTTGTTTCAGCTCTAATGATCCATCTACCTGAAACGAATTTCTAACGGCAAACCTTAGTTCAACAAAGATTGCGAGCGAGCTTTCGTCTCCAAAAATCTCGCCTACCGGCAGTCGCGCAAAATCCCGGTACCGACACCCGAACTAGGATTGTTGATGCTCGTAACAGCCGCAAACTTAGCTTAAATGAAAGCAAATAACTTCACAATCAGAGAATTAAGGATAAACTGCTTGCCAATACCAACGACCTTCTATCGTATGTCACCCATATTTAGAATAACGCAATCGACAAACATGGAGAGTCAAGGGCTGTTGTGCTTGATATTTGTAAGGCCTTCGACCGTGTGTTGCATGAGGGTTTGCTAGCCAAACTTTGATAACATTACTTGTCGGATCATTTTTGTGTATGGCTCTTCAGCTTCCTGAAAGAACCTTCCCTGCAAGTGGCCGTCGATGGATATCTCTCGAATACTTTTACCACCAACGCTGGTGTTCCCCAGGTATCCATATTGTATCCAACCCTATTTTTATTGTATATCAACCACTCATTGAAAAAAAACAAGAATCCGCTACAGGAAAATCCTCAAGGCGCTCTACAAGCGGGGCCTGTGCGAAAGTAGCGATTCACGTTGAATTTGAATCGCTGGAGATTAAATTCATTTGCAAAAACGTTCTCAGGAAGTTGATTTCCACACAAACGCAGGTCTCCAAATGGAAGAGTTCTCAAACAGCGAAGTCTGAGTTGAACCTCAAATCGATGAGCAGCCACAGTCCGTCGCGTATTTCTGATATGTACCGCTCTTGGTGGAATAAAATATGCCAAGTCACTTGAACACCTCCCATGAAAGTATCTATAAGCGACAAATCTCCGACATTTCTTCAATGTTCCAGACTATCAAGGTTACAAGTGATATTCGTGTCTCGAATCAGACTGATGGCTCTTTTCTGGATGGAATCCAGCAACTCCAGGGTATGCTTAGGGGCGGGGCTCAATACATGAAAACAATACTCCAAAGAAGGTCTTATACGAGATTTATAAAGCATCAAATGTTGCTGAGGTGTGTACAGTTTTCTGGTTCGAAACAGTGTTTGAAGCTTTCGAGAAGCAGCCTTCGCAATTCCAGCAATATGATTGTGTCAAGACATATTGGTGTCTATTCAACCCCCAACAAACTTATCGAAGCAGAAAGCGGAATTGTCTGGTGACATTATTATATCTGGTTCGGAGAAATTTATCTTTTTGGAGAAAACCGATGCCTGGGTTTTTGTGACACTTAACTGAATCTGGTTACTTTCACCCCAATTTGAAATCGCTTCTAGATCATCATTAAGATATTCAACATCCTGCTGCTGGTGAAGATGTGTCCTGGAATCCAAATGTAATAACGAGACAAGTGTGCTATCGTCAGCAAAGCAATATATTGGATTCTTGATTTTATCCAATAAGTCGTTGATATACAATGAAAAGATGGTGAAAATATTTATGGATCCTCGGGGAACACCAGCATTGATGATGAAAGTATTCGAGAGATATCCATCGACGACCACTTGCAGGGCACGTTCTTTCAGGAAGCTGAAGAGCCATACACAAAAATGATCCGACAAGCCATAACATCGAAGTTTGGCCAGCAAACCTTATGCCACACACGGTCAAAGGCCTTAGAAATATCAAGCGCAAAACTCTTGACTCTCCATGTTTCTTGATAGCATTATTCCAAATATGGGTGACATATGATAGAAGGTTGCCTGTTGATCTTTGTTTCCAATAGCCATATTTTATCGTTCAAGATGATAAAGCCTTCCAAATATTTTGAGGATATGGTGGTTTACGGTTTACAATATCACCTTAAATAGCGTCAGAAAACAACTGAAGCGAAATTGGCGAATGGATGTAGCCGTTAGTTACTATGTGGAAAGAATCTCACGTTAAAAGGTAAGACCTCGTTAGTCCTTAGCTCGCACAAGTTTCGACTTTTGATGGTTGTCGTTCGTTGAGGTGCGACAGCTGGTTAACGGAAAAACAGATTTTAAACAGATCATCATGAAAAATGAAACTTTCTATTTTTGTACCACTTCAATATGTAACTGACGTTACTGAAGTTTCGTCCTGCAAGGATATTTTCAAACGAATAGAATAAACTGTTTAACTTTGCAGTTNAGAGATATAAAGTTACAAATACAAATGATATAAAAACATTAGAAGTTTTATTTCTCATTTTTTATGAAGATCTCCATAGTAGTAACGTCTATTAAAATGAAAATATTCGCCACCAAAGAGCTGTTCCGTATATCAATAAAGTTTTCATAGGTGTTAAGTTTGAGCTTTCTAGTACTGAATTAGGATTAATGAATATTTCTTCAATATTCAAAAGAATGAATGATAACAACTCGGCTCGGCTCGTTTTGGCTCGAAGCTCTGTTCATTTTTGAGTCAAGCTTCGAGCGAAGCCATGGATTGGAGAGTCGAACCGAGATTCGAGCCGAGCCAAG